AATTGCAAAATCCATTACTTTAGCCTTCAAGAATGGATTCATTTCGAATGTATAACTAGATCACGCCGTTAACAGTCGTTAGAAGGTGATACAGAAGGAGCGACCTTGAGTTTTCGAAAGCTACAGTCATGTGAACAGGTATTAAGAATGCAAGTGGGCAACTTTGTCGAAAGATATCAACAGTAAGCGCGCTGTATTCATTTAACTGGCATCACTCCGGTCTAACAGATAGTCTTAGAAGGTATAATTGTGTTCTCAGCTACGAAGAGTATTGCTTTCCGATGGATGGTAATGTCAACAGATGCAACTGCTCTGTTTCCGAATTTTCCTAGCGCTCATCTATGGAACGCTTACCTGAAATATTTCTCCATGCCATTGTTGATCCCTCTGGCCTCAGTTGTTGTGTCTTTTGCACACCCACATGTTTTGCGCTAAGGTACACAAAAACTAATCGCAGGTAAATGTAGCTGGTCTACTACTGTTCACCATAATACTACCAGCACATAGTCGGCGATGAAGGTAAATCAACTCCGTCTTCGTGTAGTGCATAACGTCCTGGGAAAAAATAGCAGGGAGTTCTCGATAGGAAAAAGATGTTAGCATTTAGCATAGAAGCTCGAAGGTCCTCAGAGAATCTCTGGTTTTATTTGATTACTAGAATCAGTTGAACATAATTTCTGAGATAGGACGAGAGTGAAATTTGGCGTTCGAGGGAAGTCAGGGTAAGATTTGTGACAGATGCTTCTAGCCCTCCAATTTCACCTAGATCTGCATTCGCTGTTCATAATTTCTATCACAAATATAAGTAACTAAGAAAGATTTCAACCCATATTCTTTGTTGTCTTCTGTTTATGTTATCTATAATACCCTTAAATATTCGCGTGCCATGGTATTCTTTTGCTTTTAAAAGCTACATATCATAAGGAGTCTGATCCTTGATTGGAGCCAGCATTACGGAGGATTTATTATATATTTAGTGATCGAGAACCGGCTCTTACCAGCGGCTGAATTCAGTACCAGACTAATCGGATCTCACCTGCAGAAGTTTCTAACTCAAACACGGTCCCGGTAGTAGAACAATCCGGCTATTTATAACTTATTACAGAAGAGTAGTAGGGGGAGTTGAATGGTCTAGGTAGAAATTCGTCACATCTAGACTCAATCAGACAGCTGCCACACGCCCGGAAAAACACTGTACGCGCGTTTCATCCTTTCGGGAATCGTCAGCAGTGCGCATTCCATCGGACCCTGGTAGGGCTCGTACCCGCAGCTCGACTGTTGCCAGTCCGTGGTTGAGACCACTGAGCTACGGGGGACTGCAACGACCATCGTAAATAAGTTACTAGATGTGATATAGCGCCGCTCACTATCCACTGACTTGCACGTTACTGCCGTGCAGAGGACAGGGTAGCCCCCTCACCAAGCGACGAGCTTCCCAAACTTAAGCCACCAAGTAACTTATGTCTTTATAAGTAGTTTGGTCTGCGTACTTCCTGTTAGTGCTTGTGAAAGCGTGTTGCCTCGAGTTGAGCACAAATGGACAAGTATGTCGCTAAGTTTTTCTTGCAGAAAATATTGACGAAATTCCACGTTGGAATATGCTTATACCAACCAACAAAACCAAAGGCAAAGTCGAACAAATATAATTGGCAAGTGAGGAAAGTAGACGAATAAATGATTTCATATGAATGTGAAGAACGCCTCCCTCGTGACTTCTCCTAAGCATGCTCAACTGCTTTCATCAGTCAACACAATGAATGCGTGATACTGATATAAGCTTGCCGTACAGTTTGAAAATGATATATAACTCACGCAAGTACCTGCTTACATGTACATTCCACAAACTGCAGTGCATTTTCCAATCTACTGTTGGCAGACATCATTGGTGAAACATCACTGTCTACCTGTTGATCCGTTCTTGTACAGTAACAGTCTCTCGTACCATCGCTAAATAAAACAGTTGTTTCCTTAAATGTTCAAGCGGGCCTCCCGGCAAATCGCATTTCAATTTCCGGGAGTGTCGTAAGCTTATATACAGCTGGTACTCGAAAAAAAGGTACATACAAGCTGATCACCCTGGTTAACCTTATGTTATTCGCCCATACTTGTCCTAAAATGTTCACCTCCCTGTAAAGTTAAACGAATTTTATGTATCTTAAAGCTATTGAGCGTGGTGAACATTCTTCTAATGCAGTGGTTCCAAATCTTTTTGAGGTTGTTGCCCCCAAAACCAGTTCACTATAATCAATTACCCCAAAAATGCTGCAGTTCAAAAAGCCACCTAACTATTGCATTTTTTGCTCTGATTTACCGAAAATATTATATTGTATTACATTTTATCATTCAAATAAAAAACGACTATTTTGTGCAATGTTTTCCAAATCAAGAGGTGGTTTATGTCCATGGGAAGGTTGATGTTGCTTAGCTCCAAAACTTTATAGTATACATAGTGTGGTTTCGTCTAACGCATCTCGTGCGCTGTGCTCCAATTTCATTCGTTTCCTTGCTTTGGTGTGTGATCTACCATCAACGCCTCGCTGGATGACAAAATTCAACCACCATTCTGTATCTAAATGTCCTGTGTAGCAAGTGTCTGTTCTGCCCCTACTACCTTGTGAACATTCGCTTGCTCGTTTACGTGGCCGGCTGACCTAAGCTCCCACAGTGTTCATTTAACTGTAATTCGACAGGGCGAACGCCTGCATGACTTTAAAATACAACGATTGACGAGCGAGCCATTAGAGATGCCATCTGATTGTGCTGCTTTGCAAGCTTGCATTCGAAGATTCGATACTAAAGTTTAGCGTTTAAGATTGTCTAATTCGCTGATCACTCACTAAGGCTTAGCCACTGGTGATTGATTAATAGTGATTATGTAGATTCTTGATGGTGTCCATACAGATGACTTTGCTGTTAATTTTGTTTGCCGACAAATCGATGACCCAATCCTGGCACTTATGTTTACCCCCGTAAAATGCCACTTTACCCCCTTGGGGGTACTCACCCCCAGGTTGGAAACCGCTGTTCTAATGGTTCCTGTACACCGATTCTACCCTGCAGTAGTAATACGGGCAAAGGCGTGCTTATGAAATTGGCAAATTTACAATCAATAATAATAAAATTTCGACTTTTTATCCCTTGCTGTACTTGGGTTCACTATGGATATCATGACTACATCACGTTAATTTTCTTCAACCGAAGGCGAATCACCGGTAAGAGTACCTTGACTTTACCGGTTCCTACGGAGAGATCAAAACACCGTTTAGCTCCCTACCTGAATTGTATACAATGATATCAAATGTCAAATAGATAGCTATGGTTACATCGAGGAAATCGTCATTGCGTTAGTCATATTGAAGCAACTTGATACACCACGGTCAGGTTGCGCAAAACAATGCCTATTTTACTCAAAACAAACTACCTATTTTCCTCTTTATTTTCCAATACATGGGCTAGTTTCCAATACAATTCGCCAGATTGGCTTAGAGAGGATATGATAATCCAAAAAAATAATTTTCAAAAGCCTAGTAAACTATGTTAAGTAACCTAATAAAAACCTACCGTCTTTGCGAATGTGCCGTGTGCTAACATTTGATGTTAATAGTTGAACCTTTTAAAATAATACTATCGACTGACTTTATTTGGCCCCATCCTCAAGATAATGGGGCAGTCGTTCAGTCCACCGTTTATGCATCGGTGAGGCGCACTACTGGTTGAAACGGTCTCACAGGGCACCGTTTGAAAATATTCCTCCCTAGGTTTGGTCGTGATGTGTTTTGTCGGAAAACTCCGAATATTCCTTTGGTCTTGTTGTGGGCTTTCACATGATTACTAAGGAAGCTAGCCAGATTACTGACATTTATAGGCACTAAAAGAAGCGATTTACGAAACTGTTTACCTATTCTGCAATCCATCTAAACTGCAAACACAATCAGTTCTAGGGGGCACCGCAGTTGAGTTCCACGTGATGTATTTCTAACTGGTTGCCAATGTTGATGAGATATTGAATTTTCCAGCTGTACCCAATATCTAAGGTATTTAAATATTTACGGAAATATTGGGTACTGATTTTGAGCTTCATTACAACCACAACGATGTAATCGCTTTAGGGGCCACATAGATTCATTTGTGATAAATAATATGACGTTTATTCACCGGCTCATTCATCATTAAACACCAGTTGCAGTGGAAATTATCACCGCATTTTGTGATGTCACTTGGTAAGCTACTGTTAACTTGCAATCACCATTCACGAACTCGTTAGTGAAAAAGGGTTGGCAGTTTCCAAATCAACTACTAATGGTCGTGACTGATGAACGCAACTCACTATCAGCGACCTATGGCATCAGAAACTCTCTCCACCAATCGCAGTGGTGCCATTATGTCTCCGCTCTCTTATGGAACACTTCGCAATCAAATTTAAGTCAACCTCTGCTGTTCACCTTAATACGATCCAGATGATTTAGGTTACGTTTTAGCAAAAACAAACTATGCGTGAATGTTATCCTCTATCCCTTTCACCGTGCCCAGTGTACGGCGAACTTACTTGCAAATACATATTTTACATACCACAAGGGTAATAATACACTGACCCTAACAATCCTTTAATAAAACAGAACAAATGCCCTATACGATTTGTACCCTACATTACAATAAACCGGTTCACAATGATGCGACTGTTCAGTTTACTTCAAAATACAATTGTTTATTCATGAGAGCACACTTTACTAGAAAAACATAACTAGACATTGGGCTGGATAAGATACGGATTCCCAAAGAGCTGCATTTCTGTCCACGCTAAATGCTAATATCTTCAAAACCACTAAAAGTGTAAGGGCTGTCCTGTTCTCAGAGGTGGGCATTTCTGTTGCAGGCCATCAAAAGTCTCAGTACGCAGCTATGGGGAAGGACACCGCGATTCGACAAACTTGTGCTAACAATTAAGTATACTAGAATGAAAAGTACTCAAAACTGAAGATAGATCAAACTAAAGCACTCACAGAATTCCGAACTGCCGGGAACGCGCGATGATATGTCAGTCGCGTAGTGTGGTATGACTCTTCAGCACTTTAACCAATGAAATCGCTTTCAGGTGTCTGCATTGGCCTTGGGTAGTGGCAAATGGTATGGACGCAAAGCACGGACCACACTTATTCTCGCGTGCTGTTCGTATCGAATTTAAGTGGCACAGTGATTGGTAAGTGTCAGGGCTTCGCCAGCACTTCCGTGTACGAGTAGTCAGCTAACCGACGCCAATTTGTTTTCATTTGCAATCCATGGAACAATGCTGTGTTAAGGGTAAAAAATAGCAATGCTTAACAAGTCCCGTGAGATGGAAACTATTGCGAAAATAGCATGGTAAAATGAAAAGCATTTTGGTGAACTCAGTGTAGACTTATGTAGAATAGCCGCGATGTTCGCACATTAAAAGCATAAATCCACTGGTTGGGAGTTTGGTGAGACACCGGTTGAATGCATTTTGTATGCCCCTGCCTAACAAGTTATTAAATGAAATGCAAATGGGATAAAGCATGGTCAACACGTTTTTTTAATATCACCAGAGTATGAGCACAGACGACATACTTTGGGAGAGCTTTCCAAGGCTGACACACGCGGTCGGAAAAAATTTTCTACGGCATTCAAGCCGGCTAAACTGTATTGCCATTTTCAGAGGATGACACCTTAAGCTAGTGTTGTGGTTTGATTCCAGCAGCGGACAGGAAATGTGGGTTGGGTTCTTCAGAATCTGCTAAACCATTATGAGATCCCCGCAAACTCCGATATCGATTGCTGTACATTCTTAAATTTCAGTCTAAGCTCATGTCACTGAAGACCAAACTGGGTGCCGTCGGTCCTTCCCGCCCTCCGGGCTGGAGTCTAGGTGACTCACCTTGTGTTTCGCTCGAGACTTTACGGGACATGGCTCGCAACCGACACCAGTGGCGCGTCTGCTGCCGTCTCCTAGACGGATTGCCTGTTTAAGGTGTGTTTGGTGATGAGTTATCTGCTGGTTAATGGCTGGTTATGACGCGGGGCAGTGAAAGTAGCAAGGAAGCTGTCGCGCCGATGCCACCTTATCATTGCACGATAGCCAGCTGTTTGTGACGGTAGACTGTCTACACAACATGTATGCGTCTTGACCCTGAATATTTGCTTAATGCATTAAGGGTTTCAAATAAGACCCTTTCTCCCTCTTATTATTCCTTCTTCCATAGGTCATCATGATTGTACGGCAACGAAGCATCAGTTCGAATTGCTGATGCACTGCTCTGGTTGATGATGTTGATGGGGCAGAGGAAAGAGGCGTCTGAGGTTCCTTGATGCCGTTCATTCAGGAGTCTCGAGAGCAACGAGATGCTGTTTCTGCCACGGTTGCCACGCCTGGATAGCATATTCTAGTTGCGGCCACACGTGGGCCTTAAGCATTTGGGTGAACCTTGAGGGTTCAAACCGACCGAACACTCTGCGAAGAAGGCCGAAGTGTTGATTGCCGTGTCTCAACGCCTTCTCTGTTTGTTTTGGGCATCCGAGATCTTCCTGTACTAGTACACCTAGACTATGCTCCTGAGAGACCCTTTGCAGGGTGTGGTCTCCAAGCTTGTAAACGCCCACCGGCTGGTGACGCAGATTGATCACCTTGCACTTAGTTATGTTCATCTGAAGCAGGTTCCTCGTTGATTATTCAGAAATGCAATTCAGGTCATGTTGGAGTAGATCGTGCTCTTCATTATTACTAATCGCCCATCATCTCTTGATGGCGTCGGCGAAAAGCAGGAAATTTGAGGATACAACTCTTGACAGGTCGTTGATAAACGCCAAGAATAAGCATGGTCCCAGCACCGAGCCCAGTGGGACACTACATTCCACCACAATCGGGTTAGCGCGTGATCTCCTAACACGCACTTGAAGCTTCCGTTGGTGTAGAAAATTGTCAATCCAATCCGTAGCTCTGTAGCCTGTGAAGTAGGATGCGGTGATCCAGGCGGTCGTAAGCTTTGGAAAACTCTAACTAGATGACGTCAAGTCCGACCGCAGCAACCACTTCCGTCCAGGTACCTGGTGCAATCAGTTGGTGGTGTATGACCGGCGTTGACGGAAGCCATGCTGCTCCAGTGCCAAGATGTTGCATTTTTCCAGGTAGTCCATTAGAGCCTCAGCGACTGCCGCTTCCATCAAATTCACGAACACAGGGATGAGAGTGACTAGACGATAGTTGGTAGGATCTGAACGGCCGCCTTTAAAAATTGGGGTTATAATGCCACGCTTCCACATAGTGGTGGCTTTCTGTTCGTCGGAGCACTTTCGGAAGAACAGTGACAGTGGTTCAGCTACCTTGATGGTCACAGCCTTCAGTGTTTTCAGGTGGAAGTTGTCTGCTCTCAGAGAGCTATGTCGCGCAGTGACAGTAACTTTCTTTGCACAATTGCTGGGTTGAAAATTACATGTGTAAACAATGGTCGTTAATGTGGTTAAAGGTATGTGACAGGTAGAGGATGTGTGTGCAAAAATTGGGGCGTATTGTAGCCCTTGGGCATTAGCTGCATCTTCGGTGCTTTGTGCTCTACCGCATGCCATGAAAAGTGGCGGGATGCCATTGTTCAATTTACAAAGATTGTTGACGGGTCTATAAAGCAGTTAGTTTTTTGAAAGGCATTTTTAGCTAGGCACTATTGATAAGTTACTTTTTCTCAAGGACGAGTGCAGTGTACTGGTTGCGATGGGTCAGGAAATTGCCCCAAGTTTCTGAGTCGAGGCTAACGTTGTAGGCACGCCATGCGGCATCCCTTATCGCCATGCATCTTCGAATCCTGCTCATTGGAATTGAAAGCATTTTTGCGGGACAAAGAGGTTTGCTCTGATACGCGGTTGACGATGTTGCTGTGTCTTTCAATGAACTTTGTCCAAACGTTGTCAAGGGGATTGTTGCTTGAGAATTTCTAAGCAGATGCGTCAACGAGTTCGTTCAAGACGTTGTAGCGTGTGATTGTAACAAGCTCGTTCCGATCGTTCAGATGGATACTGCATAACACACATCGTTGAACTTTATTACTACATGGTCGCTGAGACTTAATGGACGCCATCAATAGCTTGTCAGCCATGATCTCTTCATTCGCGAACAAATAGTCCAATATGGACGATTTGCTTGCTGTCCTGAATCCATAGCTTAATTGAATTCGTTGCATCGTTCCCTCAAATGTTTGCATCGGTCACGCTTGAAGCTGCATCGCGTGCGTCATGTGACACGTTGCACGTGTGCACTCGTATGAGCCATACTCATGGACTGTGTTCGCGACGTGAGATCACGTGATCGCCTTGCCACCGACTGCACTGGTACGGTGACTAACAGCGGTGAAGTTAACTCCATAGGCACGCCAAGTTGAGTGGAATCGTGCAGTTAGTGCAACAGCTTGCTCTGCTCCGAATGTCACAAAAAGGCACTCGTACGCGGCACTCGGCGGAGGTGAAGAATATACTACTTAAGACTTATGAAGAGGGACGCGACTGGAAGCATGTTGCACACATACTGAACGTAAACCTGATTACCTGTCGCAGTTGGATAAAAAGGTTGGAATCAACCGGACAAACAGAAAAGCGTGTTGGGGGACGCCGAAGGTCTCTGACAGACAGCCAGATTGATTGCCTGGTAGAATGGGTGTCGAAAGAACCCACGGTCACTCTACAAACACTACGTCTGCGGTTGAAGGCGGAGTTAAACATTGAGGTAAGCGTGAGCACAATTGCACGATACTTGGATGGACGGCTAATTACCATGAAGAAGTTGCGAGCAGTTCCGGAATCAGCCAACACACATGAGAACAAAATGCGGAGAAAAGCCTACGTTTTGGCACTGCTACAATCTGAGGCCGAAGGGAGACAAGCCGTGTGGATAGATGAAACCAATTTCAATCTCTTTTGTTCTCGCACCATGGGGCGTTCACCGCGTGGAACTCCTGCGCAATGTACAGTGCCCAACAGTCGAGGCCAAAACCTGCATCTGATTGGAGCGTTAACGAGCGATGGATTAATAGACTATACCATCATGAGAGGAAGCTTCAATAAGGAAAGGTGCGCGGCGTGGTTGCGTCGACTGCTGGATGCCAGAGGCTCGACTTTTATCGAAAACTGCCTCCTGATCTGTGATAACGCGCCATGCCACATGAAGTTGGAACGCGTATTCCAGGAGGAACCGTACCGTTCGGGCAGCCTCCTGCGTCTGGCGCCATATTCTCCATCACTGAATCCCATTGAGGGAATCTGGAGCATAATAAAAGCGTTTGTGAAGCAAGCCATGAGGAGGCAATATTCCGAGATGCTTCAGGGAGATCCTGAGGGTGTACTATGCAAGAGCGAGTGGAGAATGCGCTTCTTGGAGCGAATTGTGTCCGAGGCACAAACCTGCGTTACGCCCCAGCACTGCCAACAAATGATCGATCATGTAAGAAGGAATTACGCTCGTGCTATGCATTGCATGGATTTGTAAATCTTGTTTTTGCTGACATAAATGTATATGATTTTAAAAGGTGTCATCACTTTTATGTATCGCTAGTTCATAGGTTCGACATTCAGACTAAATTTTGGGGCACACAGTTCGCGCATATTTCCCGTGGGGCATTGCAAGACAACCATAGGGTATGTTTACAGTTCAAAAAAGTCCGGACGGCAACTGCAGTGATGCTAGTGGTGAGAAACATGAATGTCTGTCAATGTGGCATCATTACACAATGCCGAATATAAGCGCATTACCATGAAGGCTGACCACGCGATTGCGAAACCTTACGTCTAAGGTCCGTTTACGTTCACCTTTACGTTCAGTATCTGTGCAACGCTTCCAGTTGCGTTCCTATAAGTTTTAGTATATTCTACACCTCCGCCGGGTACCATGTACGAGTGTCCTTTTGTGACATTCGGAGCAGTGCAAGCTATTGCACTAACTGCACGGTTCCACTCAAATTGGCGTGCCTATGGAGTTCACAGCTACGTTACTACCAGTGCAGTCGGTGGTAAGGCCATCACGTGCTCTCACGTCGCGAACCCAGTCCATGAGTATGTCTCATACTAGTGCAATGTCACATGACGCACGCGATGCAGCTTGAAGCGTGACCGATGCAAACATTTGGGGAACGATGCAACGAATTAAAGGTATAGTGGGCTTAGTGACAGGATTGTACAATGGAAGATTAACGATAAGTCCATCCAAGTCTGAATTGAACTGATCACTGGGTGTTGCAGATACCTCCAGATCGTGTAGATTGGTTCTTGGAGATGAGAATGTGGCTGTAGCCAGTGC